ACAATTTGCAATGCCTCGACGATTCGCAGCAAACCACGACGGTCCAACCTTCGTGAGGTTGGAATCGCTGATGCTGTCACCAGAAAAGAACGTCGAGGGAGGTCGCCGCTGTCTGATGCTGTTAAGGAGGGATCGAGGAAGGCGACAATGGTAGCTAGCTTTAGTGGGAGAGAAAGGGAAAGATTATGGTTTGATGGGGTGAAGGAGATAAAAGCGAGAAAGTAATATGTGATTTTTAAGGGAGAAAAAGATTAGAGTTTCTTGAATTTGAGATAAAAATAATATATATAAGGTAACCTAAAATTTGGTTTTTCCTTATTTGTAATTTGTTTATTTACTTATTAAAAATATATGAACATGAGTATGCTTTATAATTTTCTTCGGAGTACTGTTTTAGAAACTTATTTATAAAAATATATAAAATTTTCTAATTTTACACTTTTAGATTTTTGGATGTAGGATTTTTTTATAATACCGATTTTACCCTTATTTATTGCATTTATATTTATTATTGTTAAATTTTTTTGTTGCAACCTAAAATATTTAAATCCCTAAATTGTAGACATAATCATTTAATTATTGTGGGTCTCATATCAATTTTAACCTTAATCGCTTGATTCACTCATTATCATGGATAGCCTATATTAATTACAAAAAAGATTATGATAATTTCAATTTCTAAATTAATTAATGCGTGGATTTATCCATGATTCAAATTCAAAATAGTTGGAAATATACCCACGATTTATTGCCGCTTTCATTTCTTCCCACGATCTTCCAACATCAATTTCTTCCCACGTTTTACTGTTGTATGCACTAATACTAAGGTGAAGTTTTGCTTCTGCTCACGTTTTTTAAAATATTGCTCTACTCATGGATTCCTTTAGTTTTTTTATTTTTCTTTTCCGGATATAATTTTTAACTATTGAAGTTTCAATCTCATATAAACTTATATATTGTAGATATATTATATTCGCATATAACATTAACTTATTCTATTAATTTAGACACCCTAGCACATACTTCATTGGTATGAATTGCTCTTATTAACATTAACCTAGCAAATGCAATCCAATCCAATACAATTACAAGATAAACATATATGCTAAATATAAAATATATCTGACTATTGAGTTCCTATAACTACCAAAATGGTACTTAGTTGTAGATATATGTTATATCCGCATATATAGAAGAATTCACACCTAAATTTCGCACCACTCAAATCATATTTGAATCTTTCTCAATAATGGACTATTTATATTAGGTATTGACAATATATAGGTATGGAAAATACGCCCTTCTGAACTCCAAGATTCTTTTTTAATGGAGTAATCGAAATCGAAGACTAAACAAACTTTCACTTTGACGGGCGTCCGACAACGACAATGGAGAAATCGGTCTTCTACGAACTGTACGGATTTGCTACGGGATAAACTGAGTTAACGGCCAGCAACGAGAATGGAATGACTTTACGCGACGGTCTACTGTGGACTGTTACAGGACAGTAAACGGAGAAAACGACCGGAAAGAATGGTGTTTGGGGAAGAAGGAGAAATCGGTGGAAGAAGGAACGGGCGGAAGAACGAGAAACCAAAGGAGTAAATAAGAAACCGTAGGATTATTTGGGTATTTTTATTTTTGGAAAGTCTAAATGAGCATAAAATAAGGGATTTAAAATCTAACCTACCAAATAAATGATTTTGATTTTCATAAATTTATTAATATTTAGGTGTAAATAAGGAAGATCTTAAAGATTACTATTTCATGATAAAAGTGTAAAATTTTGTACATTGAATACGTACGTAGTTATAATCTCTAAATAGACTGTACTAATCCTCATTTCTTTTCCCCTGGATCTGAAGCAGCCCATTTGAAGAAATACAAAAGTTGGGCCGAAAAATGCCGAGCCCATTTCGCGAGTTCACAAGATTATGAACCGTAGCATAGACTAAGCCTCTGGAATCACAGACAGAAACCCAACCACTATTTTGCAGAGGAAGGATTAGGAAGAAGAAGAATATCACAAAGATGATCTACCGGAAATGGAGTCTCCTCACCGGCCCCACCGCCATCTTGGGCGGCATCGTTGCCACTGTAGTCGTCGCCAACTTCATCTTCGTTAAAGACGTAATCCACGAAATTCCTTCGCTCACTTTCTTTCTCGTTTTTTGATCTGTTATTCATCTACATTTTCCCCAATATTTCGGACTTTTGATCATTGATTTGTGTATATGTGTGGATTTCTTCACTTTTATATCCATCTGTTGTGTTGTTATGCGGTCGGCTAGAGTTTAGGTTGCCATGTCGTTTATCGTGGAAGGTTCGTGATTGATTCGGCAGTTTATTGCAATTTTCTTTTTACCATCTGCTGCTTTTAGTCGCTGAGCATTGAATAACTTTGTTATGGGAATCTAGGGATTTGTAAATGGAGCTGTTCTGCGAAGAAGGAAGGATGTGGTTTTTCTCCTTGCTTTTTGAAACTTTTGTTTGGAATCAAAGAACATGAGACTTGAATTGGGTAGGATGAATGTTCTTTTCTTGGTTGAGTGAACATTAAATCTAAGATTTAAGTGGTTTGACAAAGGTAATTTTTTTTTGGATACGAAACAATTTCATTCATGATATGAAATTTACCACAGGTTTAAATCCAATCCAATGAAGTTACAAAAAACTTCTCCAATTGGATATAAGAAAATTCAAGCTATAGTTGATAAAAGGAGTGACATTTTTGCGCACCATGATAGTGCCAAAAAAAGAAATAGATTCTATCACGTGTTGATGATAGTTTTCTTTATCTAGCATTTCTCTCTTTCTAAAGTGACCAAATGAAGGCTCTGTTGATGTGAAGCCAAAGGGTTGCCTTTTCTTGCTTGAAGGGGTGCTGAAGGAGAATCTATGCTATCCAATCTCGCAAATTATTTGGTACAACCACTGTTCATCCAAAGATGGATAAAAACTATATCCAAATCATAGATGTGAAAGGGCGTTCCATGAAAATGTGTGCTCGAGATTCAGATTCTGCTTTGCACAAACAGCACCACATAGGGGAGATAAGCCGCAAGGACACCTTGTTTGAAGCTTATCGAAGGTGGTTAGGCATGTTTGACTGAGTTCCCAAATTATAAATTTTACCTTTTTTTGGATATGAGGCCTTCCGAATAGTTTGTGTAGATCGTTTGATGGGGAGGCCACACCTGCCGCAAGCTTTTTGGTCAAAGTTTTGCTTGTAAGAGGGCCATGATTTTCTATTTTCCACATCCACAGATCTGCTCTGTTCATTCGATTGTTAGAGCACAGTAGAGTTGATGAAGATGCCCATTTTTAAATTTCTTCAATTTTTAGGTTCCTACGAAGATCCATTTTCAGCATTCCATAATTCATCCAGATGCATTCTTAGAGCAAGATAGGGAGTGTAACAAAGGGTAGTCCATAATTAGTGGGTTTTACCCTATCCAATGATCTGTCCAAAATATAGTAGATCTACTATTTCCCACTTTAACACGGATGTTGGTGAATATTAGATCCCCTTGGCAATTTATGAATTTCCAAGGACCCTTTGATGAAGAAAGGGTTGCATTTCCAAGGACCGATTACCTTAATCTTTTCAACGTCTCTATTGGATTGAGTTAAATATTATCAACATTTCTTGCAACCTTGAACATTGAATTTTAATATTCTAGTTTTCTGGGAGGGGTCTTCTCATCCTCTGCCCATTCTCGTGTTAATATATTCACATAATCACATCTTATAAAAAAAAAGAGTATTTGTTTCGTAGGTTGTACAGCTATGTCCTTGAGTTCTGGAGTATATTACTAACACTCCTTTCCATCACTACAATGGTTGTGCACGTTGTTTAAGCAACTGATTTGTAGTTCCTGTTTATGTTCATGCACAGACAATTGGGTTGCTGCATAGATTTTGATTTGCCTCCTTTAACTGTACCTATAAATTACAATAATGGTTGTTAATGTGTTGCTAGCTCTCACTTATGGCTTTGATCTCTTTGAAATTTTCAATAATATTAAAGAATCTAAAGATTTACATCAGTCTTAACTTGGGCGGTATCTTTATCAGTGAAGTTTTTAGTTGACTAGTAGTTCATTTTGCCTAGCCTTTTCATTTAGTGTTTCCACGATGAAAAGATCAAAATAGGAAGACCATTGGGATGAAAATGAACATTTTTTTCCAACCATTTAATGTATTTAGATCTTGGTTACTTTTGACAGATTCTAAGTAGGAATTAATCAACCAGGTAATGAGAGTGATTATTATGGATCCTGGATGATGTATCAGTTTCAGAAGATGTTTTTTTGTTTTTTTTTTTCCTCAACAGATACAAGTTATT